ACGAGTGCAAATCCCTTTTTCTTCTTTCCCTTTTTCCTTCCTTCTAGAGATGAAAAGTGGAGGCATGAAAAACTGTCTGGTCAGCGGCGTGCAAAATAAACTTCTCTGCGGAGATTACGATCGTCCGCTCGTACTCGTACGTGTTTGCACATGTCCGCGCAAACAATGCCCTTTTCGCAGCTATTCTTGCCTATCCATGCTTGAACCGCGCGAATCGAAGCGGAGCGCTGCGCCGCGCCGCGCTTCTCAGTGGAATGGCGTGTCCCGCGGCGCTCTGCAGAAATTAATTCCGCGTTAGGAATTACTCCTGCGCGCGCGAGCGGGAAAACTCTCCTGTAACCTGTAACCCATGCAAGAAAACATTAAATCCTGCTTCAAACTCTTTCCGCCTCCCGTATTCCCAGCGGTGCCGTATACATCCGCGAAATAGCGGCGCTCTCAATTTTATATAACACGGTACGCGCCGAGCGAACTCAACCGCTTGAAAATGAAGTAATTGTCCGTCGAACGGCGGCGTGGCGCGCGCGAATATCTTCAGCTTTTCAACCACTCGGCTAAATAGTTTCGAACTTTCGTTCGCTCTAACGGCTGTACTGTATTACTTACGAAACATTGGCGTTTTATTGAAAAACCGATGTTAAACAATATTTATTTCTCTGAAATCAGATAACCGATTATATAGTAATTTTGATTGAAGAAAAACGTGTCGATTAATAATTAATAAAATTAATACACTGTTCTCTCTCTCTCTCTCTCTCTCTCTCATAAATTTAACTTTAATAATTTTCTATGTTGCGAGGCAAAATCAATGAACTGGTGGAATTGTAAATTTTTATTATTCCGCGACTCCGCCTCACAATGCATATTTATAACGTGATGTGTATGAAGTGGGGAAGAAAAATATATCGAGAGATTGTATGTGAGGTCCTTCGCGTACTTGTCGTATAATATTTACAAATTTTAATATCATTGTATCCGACGGCTTGTTCGGTTCGCGGCGTTGCATAACGAACGAAAATTTTCCCTGAAAAGTTTGCTGCGGAAAACGAAAAAAAAATATCAGCCACCTGTCCATACCATCCTACGTTTCAATCACATCAACAATAGCGGCGGGGCGTGGCTCGTCATTTTTCGATTCATAACGCGAGAACTTTGATTAATTAATTTCTAACACGATTTTCACCGCGAAATTCATTTTTCATCTTCCTATCGCGCAGCTTAATTTGGCGGCATACAAACGATGTATTATAAAAAATACTGACGCAGCGGCATTCAGTCTACAATGTGGCGGAATATAATTCGGATTATACGCGACAAGAGCTTTTGAATAATATAATAAATTTTTTCAATAATAATACAATACTTGCGTTGATATGATAGGTCTTACGACTTAACGATTGTAATCATTACCGAACGAAATTTTGAAATTCCAGTTTGCAATTTGCTGTAATATTGCTCGGATTACGTAAGATTACATAATTTCTATATAAGGGATGTAAGAATCTTTTTTTTTTTATCTTATGTAGACTTTTCCGCTGTGATATATCATTCATCGCTTCGATGAGCTATCGAGGGACAGTTTAGAGAATGAATGGGTCTTTTACTTGATCGTAATCTTTTCGATGTAGCAACAAGTTGGTAGTATATCCTAGACAAATCCCAATTTGTCGTTATTCTTCGAGTCCTTTCAACTCTTACGGAATCATTCAAGTTTTATCCAATTGTCGAAGCATGCATGTAATGCAAATCTACTAATTTAATTGCGAATTGTGTTGGTAAAATTGTCGACTTTTTTGCGACTTACTTCCATACAATTAAGTTTAGTTTATGTTATATATTTAAACAGGAATATAAAGAAAAGTACTACAAATTGGGAACAAAACAATTGGGAAGTCGTGTGACTATAGCTTGCGAAAGAGATATCATGATTATTCTTTTTCATTTATTAGCCCACATAAAAAATCTAAATCGTTGATTCGGAATGTCAGCCACACTCAATACCGTGCGGGCCTGAAATTACGTGCCGGCGTAACCCATATCGCGCGTGAAGAAACAACGCGTTCATACTTAGGAGTATTGAAACCTCCGAGGGGAGTTAATGGGACGGAGGGGCGAAGGGCGGTGCACTCCAGCGCGGAGTGTTGAAGGCGGGAATAATGCGATGGAAACGAGCCCCGCGGCCGATAGCGGACGCGCGGCCGCAACACGTGAAAATAGCGTTGCACGACCCTTATCAGACGGCTCCATGATTTATAGGCGCGCCGCGAAAGAGTTAATGGAGGCAAAATAGCGCGCGGCGAGCACCATGAATCCTTCCGTATCGCCGGGCACTGTCGATAGCCGCGCGGTCCGTTCGACGGCCGACGCGGCGCGTTCGCTTCCTATCGCCCGCTCGGATCTCCCTGGGTTCCGAAATGTTCCCGTGGGAATATCGCCGCGCCGCTGGACCATTTCCAGCCGCGGGCGCGCACACACTCGCCGGCCTGGTGTGTGACTTAACACATCGACGGTTTCTCTAATCATCGTGGGTGTGTGCAGCGACATTGTTGTTGTATACCTATACATATAATAATATTAGTTCTCTGATGGTTGTCTCGCTTGTTTAACGCGCGGTCATGTCCGAATAGATGTATTTCGAAATAAGTAGAAGTCGGAAAAGAAATGGCACATAATGCGATTAGAATAAAACATAAAATAAACTTAATTATATGGAAATTGCTCGTAAAAAATACGTAAAAAGTACGTAGATGGAAAATCGCATTTTCTACAAGATAACTAGCAGACTGTCCTATAAAACTGGTTTATCTTGGTCGTTTAATCGTGTCACATAAATTTGATCGAAGATATCTAAGTTGTTGTGTTCAGTAAGGATTATATTTCTTTGCGTTTATAATCGACATTTGAACGCATTCAGCTCGAAGAGAAACCAGCAGCTTGATAAAATTAGTATCCTAGGTAAAAAGACGTGCTCTTTCTCCGGGGAATTCTCGCGAGTCACGATTCGCCGCGCGATCACGAAGTTTGACTATTAAACTTCTAAGCGTGGTTTAGAGTCCTCGCGGCCGCACCGCGCCGGTGAATTCACACGCGCGTTGATATTGGTTTCACTGATGCAGCTTGCTGTTTAAACTTCGGACACACAGTTAGCCGTTCATTGCTTTTATTACTACGATTATTATTAGTGGCAGACGGTATGCACGGGGTGGAAAACTGCAAAGGACGTGAGATACGATCGGGTTAAACGACTTTGTATAAGAGGCGCGGGCAATCTCGAGCGGGTGTATACGATATACAGCTTCGGAATTCATAAGCTCGCACGCCTAATCGAATCATATTCGATAAAAGTGTGCCGGCGAAATATTTACGGGACTTTTCCCTCTTTTACTATATTTTCATCGAATTTGAATTCAATACGCTATAATAATGATAAAAAATGAAGAAAAAAACAAATTGTTTCTAAGTTGCTCTAATAGATTCATATTAACGGATTATAGATGCGCGAGATATAAAATGTTTAAAATAAAATTTTCTAGAAATTTTTTATAGATTTAAAATGTATTCATCTCTTGCTACTAATAACGATTTTAATTTGACCGTGAAGTAACGCGATGATTTACACATAATTGTGTAATGTAATATTCTCTCTGTACAAAATAAATAATAAAATAAGTAAAATTTTGATAATTAAAAGAGGATGCTCATATGAAGCTACACAAATTAATCTAGAATTTAAAATATGCATGCATTGTATATATAATTAATCTGATGAATTGCGTTTTTATTTCTGTTATATATAACACGTACGCAACAATATTTTAATTATCTAAAGAGATTAATGATTTATCTTAATTATGTTATATTCAGTCAGTGCGTTAATTTTGCCGTATGTTAACCGTATTACACGACGTGCGGCGCTTATCACATTTATGCTATATGCTAATCTCATATATGCGTGCGCGAAAAGTACAAGCGGAGCCCGGGATACGTATTTTTATCAGCGCTGACTTTATTATATTTTTGCCGCTCTATCTGTGCCACGTGAATGACGCGAGTAACACGAGCGGGAGGTTTTTATAGCCGCTACGACCCTAGAAAGACCCGTCGGAGAAACCCGAAGCAAAATGCGGTAACGAAATAGAATACGGGGGGTGCAGTGGCATGTTATCGTATTTTATGTCACCCGTATTCTCGGCCACACTCAAATGCCTTGCCACGAAAGCGGATATTTTTAACGCCGCGGATTCAGAAGCAGGAATTTCCATCACTTGAATGTCATTGCCCTCGCGCAAACGTTTGATCGATTTCCCCGCTATCGGTTTATCGGAAACATACGGCGTGTCCCCAAAATCAATCATCGTAGCGGAAAGAATAAATTTAAAGGGCCGAAAACTTGCCCGTTTTAAAAAAGAATGGGCGAAATCTATCGGAAATCCTTTACGAGGGATACGAAAGAAAATAGTCATAATTCTCTTAAAAAAAATATAGCAAAAAATGGAAAAGAAAGATGACAAATAGTAATTAAGCCTAGTTATAGCCACACTTATTTCTTCCGAGTCCTTAATTCGTCACACTTCGGTCCGTAAAACCGTTTGATTTTGTTGCATTATTATTTTTATTCTAATTAATATTTTTAAGTTTTTAATGTAAAAATTGGAAATAATACAGTTTGAATAAGATATTTATGATAATATCAGGTCAAGAATATGATTTGAGTTTAAACTCAACGTATTATAAGGAAACTAGAAAATTATGTTATTATGTGAAAATTAGAAAAGCGAAAAACGTCTACTGAACCGGAATGTGGTAAACTAGAGTTAATGCATCTTAGTTAGAGAATATGTCTTAGAAATTAACAAAAAGTGAGCACATAACATTTGCCTCGCGACATTTGAAAAAAATTGAATTTCGCGCGAAATAACTTCATAAGCTCACCCTTTTATTAATTCTAACCCATTGATTTCAGCAAACTGAATGAAATATCGCTCTTGTTTCTGTTTCAGCTGTATCGTCATACGTACCTGGCCCATTACAGGATCGTGAACCTAGAGACTCTGTAAGTAAACGAGCCGTGTCACGACGGCGTTTGCGACAATCATATCTCAAATTTATTCCAGCGATTTCAAGTTCGGATTTGCATTTTAATCTCCTCCCCCTCTCCCCCAGTGAGAAAGGAGAAAGGAGAGTCGCGGGGAAAAGCCGCACCGCGGCGCACGTGCAAATTACAAACTGCGCACGAATTTAATCCCGCGCCGTCTTACCGTCACCACCTTGCTTTGCCCCCCTCCTCCCGACCCACGGTTCTGCGTCTGAGAACTTTCCCTCGCGGATTTGATCATTAACTCAGCATTTAGGAGCGGTTATATCACGATTACCGAGGCCCGCCGGCATCCTCGACCGTCAACGAGATCTCGCTCTCTCTTTTCCTCTCGTCTCCCCCCCGGTGGCGAAAAGAATTTAAAGCTGTTTTCCGCGAGGCGTGAACTTATTTGCACGCTTGCATTTTTCGCGGTATCAAGACGTTTGCTGGCCTTGCAAAGAAGCAGGACAAATTGTGCCCTACCTTTTTAAGAATTTCCCCATTTTCTTTAATTCCTAACAGTATTCTCTTATGCTCGTATTAAGAACGCTCCCTCGATTGTTCCGAAATAAATATCTTAATAAGTACATTTTGATGAATCGAAGTATGTCATTGTAATTAACTTTTATTCAAATATCAATTAGAGCCGTATGGAAATTAATATCAACAATCTGTTTATAATCTCTCTTGTTAAATTTATTTGTGCGTTTTGCTTGTCCATATTCAACTGTTTATACATATACATATTTGCTTACTCGTTAGCTCCATATAATATTGACATTAATGTAAATATTATTATTATTATTATTGTCTATCTGCTATTTATATTTATGAAGTAAATACACAAATGTCCTGAAATTGTTCTTTTAATGGATTCAAAATTGGTTTGCCTTGGTAATTAAGAATTATAATTTAGCGCAATAATTGAAGATAAATTTACGCGCGATCATACCTTTATACAGAATGGGACGATTCTTTAATATATTAGTCGAACTTTTTCCAGAGTTTAAATCATTCAAGAAACTAGGTCGTCTGGTGAAACTCTCAAAATTTCGAAGACCAATTTCTCATGATCGCGCGCGAAACCACAAAGACTTTATCGAGATCCGCGGCGAGAATAGCGTTGTCCTTGTCGCGAATCCCTGTCGTTCGCACTCCTGCAAAGGAGCCAATGTGCCTTAAAGGTTCATCCACGCGGAACTAGGAGGCTGCTGAAATCCGTCTTACAGCCGAGAGAGAGAGAGAGAGAGAGAGAGAGAGAGAGAG